CCTGTTACCTTCTCCACCCGCGAAGTGGGTCTGAGCCTCAGTGATGTCCCGTCTGTGACGGTCTCCAGGCGGATGGCCTCGGGGTGAACTGGGCCCGGGCACCAGACAGCTGGTGGGCGCGGACGCGCTTTCCAAGAACCGCCCAGGTCTGTGGACTCTCAGGCCTGGCCTGAGCCTGGCAGGTGTTACTCACCATCATTCCACACGCTGCTGCGTCTCTTCTCCGAGGGCACGCTCAGCGCCACTCACCAGAACACGCAGGCACCCGGAGGGAGGAGAGCAGGCTGGTCCCTCTGACCTGCCTGTCCCAGCGAGTCCGGCCTGGCGTCCCTGAGGGGAGGTTGGCAGGGCTGCCGAGAGGACGGCGGCCCATGGCCCAGGCCGACAGAAGACCCCAGATGCACATTAGTGGGGAACACGTGGGTTGGGCCCCGAGAGCACGCATGGCTGTTGCCTGGGGTGAGGCCATGGGGAGGTGGGTGCAGGTCGGAAGCTTGTGGCTCAGCCGGTCCTGCTCAGAGGAGGGGCTTCCTCCCAGCTGGTGGCCCGGCGCCTGCTGTCCCTGACCTTGACCCTTGACCCTTGAGCTTGGTCAGGCTGACTTCCAGCCTCCTTCCTAAAATGCCTGCTCTCCAGCACCTCGCAGGTTGGCCGGTCACCCTGCAGCCCTGCCGCCTCACGCTCCCAGGCCTGCAGGGGGCGCCAGGAGCCCCGGAGACTCAGCCCTTGCTGGGCATAAAAGGAGATGCCAGGGTCTTGGTTGTGTGGCTGGATGAGTCTGACCGATGTGCGTCGTGAGACCGGGCATCTCGGGAAAGGGCAGCATCGTCCCGCGGCGGTTCCCAGCGCCCCTTTGGTCAGCGCCCGCCCGAGTGGGCCCTGCTCCGCGAGCTCGTGCCGGAGCCTCCCGCGCCCGGTCCTGTCACTCCTGGAGCGGCTGCCATCGCCCAGGTGGCCGGGCAGGTGGTCCACACCGCGGGCCCTGTTGCTGGTGCGCAGGGCGAGGCCGAGGCAGCCCGGTCTGTTTCGTGGCCATTGGTAGCCGGGCCGCCCGGGGCTGGGACCACTTAGCCGGGAGGGAGGCTGGCGCGCTGCTTCTCTCGGGAAGCGCCTGCTCAGGCCTCTGCCCACGTGTTTGCCTTTATTTTGCACGGGCTCCT